AATAAGAATTAATTCTTACAACTGTTCTTAACTACAGATTTCATTGACATCACTGGGTATCAGTATCAGCCATTAATGATATTGCTATATATTGTCTTCGCGGGTGCTGCGCGAGTGGAGGGGTTTGAAAAGGAAACGGACCTATAACCTCTCAATTAGCAATGTTAATATCGTTGATTTAAATACTGTTTGTATCTTTGACGAAAAGATAGTCAAAAGAGCTGGTATCATTACGAGAAACAACCTTATTTGTTTGTTATGTGGGCTACAGTGCATGTTTCGGTGCATGTTTCAGACGCTCTACATAAACGCTATCAATTTCAAAACTACGTAATTAATCGTTCATGACTAAGCGACTTGTCGATTCATCTGATAATCTGCTCATTCAGCATAAAAGTTTGCTTGTTAGCTTATCTTGTAAGGACGAGCACGGTGGCGCCCCTCAGATCGATTTACCAGGTGCTACGAAAGATGCCATAAGTGGCTCTAGATAAAGATAGCATGTGAAATATTCAGAGGTATATATTTCCAAAAATACCCGAACCCCACCTTGATTTTGTTCACCTTGTGAGAGATCGTTTTTCAATAAAGAGGCCTTTTAAGGGCCACGTTTCAATGATCGTCTGAGAGCGAACGTTACCAGAATTCACGATGTATCAGTGTCTAACGGCACTCTAGTATTGTCTGCTATATTAGCGCGTAAACTCTATTTTTGTGGTCTTTTCCTGCGCTTAAATTTATTCTTGTTGTAGTTTGCAATATTAGCTGTGTAGAATGAAAATATTGAAGAATAACATTAACGTTAAAAATATGGTTAATTATAAACGCATGTAGTTCTATATAAACGTGCATATTGCATTGGTATAAAGGAATTTCCAATTTCACGAATTTTGATAAAATTGATAGACTCGCGCTATTCATTACCATTATTTTACCATAGTGTTATGTGTTCAATATTATACTGATATCCATATGAAACAAATAACAAAGAGAGCACAAACAGTTATAGGTGTACATTTTATTAAAAACTTGAGATTGCACTTACAACATCGTACAAAAGTTTTGTGATCCTTGTTTTTTCTTCACAGATACGGCAGTGGTCTCAAAGTTTTTTTGGTTATTGTGTTTCTTGACCTTAAGGTTACCGCACGCATTTCTTTAACTTACTTTTTGTTACGCCGATTTCCTTTTTGAAAATAAAAAAACCTGCCCTTTTTATCCAGATCTAGTCCACTTTGACAAGGAAATCTACATTAGATACTACGTCCACATTTGACACACCAGTCCAGCGGATTCTAACCTAACATTTGTCCCGAGAAAGTCACAGTCTACCGTTAAAAGGTAGACACATGTTGAAGAGAAAGATGCGACGTCGAGAGTCACTGAAGCACATACCAATTATCACAAAGGGCTGTAGTTCAGAGAAAGAAGAAAGATAATTTTGATTAAAAAAGCTAGAGACAGAGTTAGTTTAGAAGCACTTGCGATGGACAATGCTTGGGCCGGACTCGTCGTATTCCTGTTTGCTGATCCACATCTGTTGGAAGGTGGACAGAGAGGCCAAGATGGAGCCACCGATCCATACGGAGTATTTCCTCTCTGGTGGAGCGATGATCTTGATCTTCATGCTGCTTGGGGCGAGAGCGGTGATCTCCTTCTGCATACGGTCAGCAATACCTGGGAACATGCTGGTGCCTCCGGACAGGACAGTGTTGGCGTACAGATCCTTCCTGATGTCAACGTCGCACTTCATGATGGAGTTGAAGGTGCTCTCATGGATACCAGCGGACTCCATACCCAAGAAGGATGGCTGGAAGAGGGACTCTGGGCACCTGAAACGCTCGTTACCGATGGTGATGACCTGACCATCAGGCAACTCGTAGCTCTTCTCCAGGGAGCTGGAGGAGGCGGCGGTGGCCATCTCCTGTTCAAAGTCAAGAGCAACATAGCACAGCTTCTCCTTAATGTCACGCACGATTTCTCTCTCAGCTGTGGTTGTGAATGAATAACCACGCTCAGTGAGGATCTTCATCAGGTAATCTGTGAGGTCACGGCCAGCCAAGTCCAAACGGAGGATGGCGTGGGGGAGGGCGTAACCTTCATAAATGGGGACGGCGTGGGTGACACCATCACCAGTGTCGAGCACAATACCCGTGGTACGACCGGAGGCGTACAGGGACAATACAGCCTGGATGGCGACGTACATGGCTGGAGCGTTGAAGGTCTCAAACATGATCTGGGTCATCTTTTCCCTGTTGGCCTTGGGGTTCAGTGGAGCCTCTGTCAACAGGACTGGGTGTTCCTCTGGAGCCACACGCAACTCGTTGTAGAAGGTGTGATGCCAGATCTTCTCCATATCGTCCCAGTTGGTGACGATACCGTGTTCAATGGGGTACTTCAGGGTGAGGATACCTCTCTTGCTCTGGGCCTCATCGCCGACGTAGCTGTCCTTCTGACCCATACCCACCATGACACCCTAAAACAATTACAAAACACATTATAATGAGTAAGATAAAAGTGGTGTAGTTTAAAAGAAACAGATATCTCTGGCAAAAGTAATCTATTTTTGTACCCTGTGTTTAGGGCTTACATATGTGCACATTTTGTTGTGTACCTAAGTAGGACTACAGAAAGATTTGGTGGGCAAATATACGATGTACTAAATTTCTTACAAAAAGTTATTTCAAAACAGGGGTACCTTTTTTTTTTCTTTTTCTTCATTATAATCAAAACAATTCATAAGGCACTGCGGTTTAATTTCCCGCCACACACGTGCAGGGCAAGCGCGTGGTATGTTGTTGTACTGACAGATAACATTTCAGTAAATGTAGCCAAATAAAGAAGCCACGTGCTGGGGCTACGAGTGAAATGATGAAATTGTAGACCCAAGGAATTCGGGGCCATATTAGGTTATCATTTGAAGAAGTTATAAATTAAATAAGTTAAATATCTGCGTGGTGGTAAGGTTTTTACTAGAAAAACGGCCGCAGAAATCAATAAACTTGAAGCAAAATGTTTTAGTTAATCATAATCGCTTGAGATAAGCTTATATCTAACTGACAGAATTGAAGAAAGACCCTTTCGTTGAGTCATCGATCTCAAGTTGTTTTTAATTTACTGCTGCCTCGTTTTGAGTTAAGAGGAATTTCCCCTACACCTGTTACCTTATATGTGTAAACTATTTGTAGCAGGCCAATCAAATGATTCCATAGTTCTAACAATTCCATTTTAGGGATACACTGACCCATCTCCGAGCACGTGGATTAGATCACACTAGGCATAGGTCTAAGGGTTGCCCCCCCAATCAAATATTTTGAATTGTTGAAAGCTGTGTTCTGTTAAATTTGCAATAGACTTTGTTTAATACAACTCGGTTTCAGAGAAGTTTCAAAATGCTTCAACAATTCAGCCCAATTTCCAACACTAGTAATCTGTCTCACTGTCAAATGAATACCAATAAAAATTTACTTCGAAGAAACAGCATAATTTCAATGTTCAGAACACCGAGAAACATGTTGCAAGAACTTTCAAACTTTCAAACAATTTTGCCTACCGAATCAGGTCATTCCCTATTATTTCGATCTCATATTATTTTATAGGATCCATGAGAATAAGCTGCTGTGGGTCCCATGTCTATATCCCAGCTACTGTGTGTACGTACCTGATGTCTTGGGCGTCCGACGATTGAGGGGAACACAGCCCTGGGGGCATCGTCTCCGGCGAAACCGGCCTTGCACATGCCGGAGCCATTATCAACAACCAAAGCGGTAACTTCTTCGTCGCACATGTTGACTGTTGTGTTTGATGATGAAGATCAAGAAATAAAATGAAGCTGTGCTTTTCACGGGATGTGTGCTCACGTCTACCTGACTGGACGCCCCTTATGTACTGCTCCTCTGGCACCCGGCTTTTTACTCTCGCTGGCTCACTTCTTCCTGGAAAAAGCTGGCAAATTCGTACAACTACGCCCCATATATGGATCCCTGTGTGCCAAATATGGAAGGCCCCATTAGTTCCCTGTGTTAAGCCGGCGAGGAGTGTCCTAATTTTCTGCAGCCAGGTTCTTCCCTCTACCCAGGAGCACTTGCGCACCTCATCAAAACCATATCTGGTCCTGCAAGACGGGCCGTTTTCTTGCCGGGAGAGACGGACGGAAACGCAGCGGGTTTCGTTACCATGGTAATTATGTCAACATTCTCAGTGTTAAGCTCAAGCTTTAGGCTTAACATGCGTGTTTCCGTACGAGTACCCTTTTAGGCATTGGAATAATGTTAACCTCTTAGCATTAGAAATCCCCAGAGATTCACACGTATTGAACTTATTCATTTAACGATTCTTACATGCTATTGTTAATGGTCATTATTTGCTCATTCTCCTTTATGTACTGTGTATTACTTGATGTCTGACAATCAGAAGAGGATAATAGGCAAGTTGTGCATTCGATCACTGGGAATAAAATTGTATCATCAGCCATATTGTTTTTGTTTATACACCTTTGTCTGATTTTGCAAACACTCCGGCCAGAAAATGGAGTTTTGAAGTAGTGACTTTCCTAATAAAATATCATATTTTAAAAATATGCTCTCTCATGCCCTGAAAGAATAACAGAAAATGATTACGTAACTAAATGCCAGTCAATTTACCCATCTTTGAATTGGCGTTTGAAATTTTATTCAAGTGTGATAACATTTTCAAGCGTTCGCAGTTGGAATGTTTTGGAAGAATATGCTTGGGTTAGAATGTGCATACAGCTTTATGTTATAAAAGCTGCATAGGTTCTATTCCCCTTATTTCTAAACTATTCCACTCCGACTTTTTAGTGATGTTTTGCTACTTCCAATAGCGGCTCAGTAAATTCAAAAGATATGACTTAATGGGCAAGAAGTATAAAATATTTCCGCATCTTAAAACTCTGCAGAACTTTATTCTCTGTCGTGAATCTATTATTTCTGCTTTAATTCATGTAAAGAATGCATTTTATTCATTTCATGTTGAATTGAATTGCAGAAAAATACCAGGGGAATGTGTATGCAACGACAGTGACGAGCATTCATTCTATATCTTCATCCGGCAAGGGTTAAACGCAGTAGAGGTTGAAATAGTAGTCGTTGTGAAGAATCGGGTAAAGATTACATCATGGTTTTACTATTCAAGCAGTGAATAAAATATGACTGTGGTAAGAGTAGCTATTTCACCAGCGGATTAGCAGGGTGCCGAATTACTAATTTCACCAAATACAGACGCTTTGGACGCTTTACATTCCCGACAGGTAACCGCCGCTCACGGAGGGCAAGGTACGGCGCGCGCAAAGTTACCTGGGTAGCAGACGAGTAGATCACCTATTTCGGACGTTCAAACCTCTCCAATAAGGCAAGCTCCTAGGCTACTCGGGCGCTATGGTAACGCATAAGCCGTTACCATGGTGACGTTTCATGAAAATAGGTCATTGAGAAAACTCGTTCTTTTCCTTATTTCTCCTACATCGTGGTTTAATTTCTCAGACATCACTCTTGTTTTAAGACGCTCAGTGCTGACATGACCGACCCCGGTGCATTAAGGTACGGTTTTGTATATTTGGTTGATCTTGCAGAATGTTACACTGTAATAAGTGTATGATATTTACGGTATAGTGAAGCTATTAAAGCGTAGTTAGTAACTGACAAGTAAGATCTGAAATAATGACGATCAATCTCAGTTTAGCTGATATTTCACAAGAGATAATTTTTCAAATGGTGTTAATTTTAATATTACAGCTTTTCACTTGTTGGACTTAATTTAATTGAAAGCCTAGCTACGAGCTTTAAATTATAATATATACCTTTAGATAAAATGTATCGTCCTGTATTAGAATATTTTGGAATGGATGGAGGAAAGTAAAGGAATACTAGAAATTAGTCTTTCTTATCAGCACGCCTCTTATGATAGAGATCACTTTCCAGTGACCTCTGATATATAGGGGCGGGGATGGGGGGTGGGGGGGGGGGGAGGCAGATGCTTTTTTATATTAATACAGATCCTGAGGAGTGAAGCTTGCTGGTGTTATGATTAATTGCTCGTTATATATAAAATCGATAAAGAATACATTCATTTATTTTAGGTTCTAACTATGTCCATCGAATATCTGCCTACAGGTACTGAACCTCATTCCAGGGAATGAAATGATGACCATACCATAAAAGGCTATAGAATTTGATTCACCTGGGCCAGATGCGTTTTAGTGATCTTAGAATCATTCTCTGGAAACTAAATGGATAATTTTCATAGACTGCTGTATAAGAAATGAAGGTATTTTATTGTGTGGTGGTTATTCTTAAAATTAAGGTTAAGCTATCTTGAATCCTAGGGTTTAGCGAAGGATATCTTATTTATAAAAATGTCCAATTTTGTCATGAATTTGTAAATAAATACACCAGCATAGTGCATTGTACTGAAGGAAAACTTTCACAAAATTCTTGTTGCGTGTAAAGATCTGGTATGTAGTTATGTGGGATCTCTTTCACCCTTCTTTACTCTCCTCGAGTGAGATTTTTTTCACTTTTTCCATATCGTCATTTGAGAGAGTATAAGATGCCATCATGATGTTTGTTTATTAACAGCTAACTAGTCCGCGTCTTAGTAACTGCGTGTCTTCAAATTTGACGAAATATTTCTTTGTTTCTATCAATAAAGGGGTACACCAGGTCACACTACTACCGTATGGCATATTTCCCTAAAATGCAGCCATGAAGCTGTCTGGACCCCTCACATTCAGTCTATTCATCATTATTTATGTGAAGGTGTTTGTCAATAAAGAATCTGAATCTGAATCTATTATCAGAATTTCGCCTTGAAAATGTTCTCCAACTAAAACACCGATGAACTAAGCTTGTGATGAGGCCAGAACATAAGTCTGTACATGTATCAATCATTTTCATCACTAATAGGGTAATGTAAGCACGCTAAAAGACCCATTTCAATATAAACAAGAATGCAGCAACACATAATGCTTCATATTTGTAAAGATTTCCGGATTGTGGTGTTTTGAAAATAAGCAATGCACATCTGACAGCGCGGTATTCAATGTAATTAAATGTATATAGTATTATCTGTATTATTAGCTATCTTGAGTGATCTTTGTTTGAGATTTACGCTGCCTTGCCAATGATCAGCATCATGACTTAGAAGTAAGTGAATAAAGAATTCATCGAGTTTGGAAAAGAGCCGGTGTTTTTTTATATTGATACCCTCTTCAATTAGCAGCTCAAATAAATTATTGTTAGACTAGAGCACAGGTGATCAAATAACTTACATGTACTACCGTACGTTTTGAAATAGTGTGACCTGCGTTTTAACGAAGTTGCATAGTTTTCTATAATAAGTCATCACACCAATTTGCCTTTAAGAGACAAAATAAGAACCAGAGGCTGATAACCTCGGTGAACAACGCGGCTATTCAGACACGCACTGTCTAGCTGCCGGAAATACGTGGATTTCACGCACCTGCTGTAATATAGCATAGGACGACAGCGTGTTTCCTGGAAGTACTGTATTACCAGGATTACAGCATGGGTTTGCTTTTCTTTGTTTTGACACTGGGATACTGAAGCTCTGGGTGTTCAGATGTGCTGATTATTACTCTTTATCTAAACTGCTTCATTGACTGGGAATTTTTTTCAACGCACCTTAGTCCGCGAGGATACGGTGTTCGAAAAGTGCATGTATTCAGCTATTAAAATAATTTTTTTCTGCCACCTTCGTTCTTGTTGAAAAAAGGTAGATAGAATTAGAAATTTACACTATGTTCTACATGTATGAGTATGGACCATAGCGATTCCCATGATGCTGCAGCAGGAGTTTTCTCTCAAGCTGAAGAAGGAATCCCGTTTGAGCTATTATTAGAAAAGTGTTTATATCACTCAACACTTAAAATATCAATATGATTAATCTGATTTGCCCACGCCCAATTGACTGGCATAAACGCACGTGCTGGGGTTTTAACCATATACTTGAGAATGTTACAGAAAGGAAGATTTGCACAGATCAGAAAAGGAGTTTTTAGGATGCTTATCACTACTCAGTAGTGAGGCTGCCAAAAGAGGCTTCGATCTGTACAGGCGTTCTGCAGAAGGGTTTTTGAGAGACTACGAAGACCGCCAGAGCGGGTGTTATAAGACTCATAAACATTAAAAACAAGAGGTAGCCCCGCACCATGAACATACCTGTGTAAAATTAGATAATTTCCCCACTCAGCAGTTAAACCCAGGATTATTTGGTCACACATCTGAGGCCTGAGTTCGAAAACGCCTAATAATTTTATAAGGCCTGTTATTGTTCTCCAATATTTTAAACAGACATAGTTACTAATATAAGCGTTTAAGAAAATTGATGAAATTTCCAAATTGGAAAAGTTTCAGTTCTGCCAAGGTTGCCAATGTTTTCAGGGCCAATGACATTGGGCAATCTGTTTTCTATCATGGGAATTGTTTATTGCGTAGAGAATCCTCATAGTTTTGTTCGTGAGGAAAAGGAACAGATGTATCAGATGTGCTGCTGTAGCTGAATCATGTAAGAGAAAAATCTTCAAATATGTAGTCCCTACACCTCGTGTGAGAATCAACGTAGTGTTTATGCGTTTATTTACCTGGAAAAGTGCAAGCGGTGCAATTAACAGCACTCTTAATGGAATATGAAACATACAGCACCTTGGGTTTTGACGTGATCCTTTCTACTCAGGGTGCACAGATGCTATTTTGGAGTGCGACCACAGGTACTTGTAGTTGTTCTTTATCTCCTTCATATGGGCTGATAATATTGATACATGCATGTACCCCATATCAACCCGTCTTTCTCTGTTTTTTTTTCTGCTCATTCATCCTTTCGTGCTCTCTCTGTTTTTCATCTTTTTGTCCATTAATCTCTCTCTCTCTCTCTCTCTCTCT